ACAAGGACCACCAGGACCATTTTATGATGGCGACTTGAATTGTATCGTAGCAGAATTACAAAGACTAATAGAGCATGAAGAAACAAAACAGGATATAGGTCTAACGCCAGCTCGTGAAAGTGTCCTTGTGAAATTTAATGAAAAAGTATGAGCATCCAGCTGTACTTTAAATGATTTGCATATCCTTGAAAAGCCAGAAAAATCTGGAGGTATAGGGATGAAAATCGTCATCAAAGATATTTTGGGTAACGAAATGTGAAATAGTAGTAAGTATCTTAAACAACGTAAGCTAACAGTATTTTTCCATAATAATCATGCATGGACAGGAGGTATATCTGAAATGCCTCGAGTATCTTCAGTTTATGATATGGACTATAAATGTGAAAGAACACTTGTTTCTGCATACATAAAAACTAAGAAGGGAGAGGTTAATATCGACGAAAAAAAGATTGCTGAAGCTCTTATATCATTTGTCGCAAGAAACCTTCCAAGAGTTACAATAATATGGATTGTAGGTAAGGAGATTCTAACTCATAAAGGTATTCTTTATCGTAGTTCTTATGAATGGAAGAAGCTGAACAACGCATTCATATGTAAAAATTCGCAATCCATATCTGAAAAATTTTTATGGAAAGAAAATGTAGATATTTGTTAATAGATCGAAGATGAGCGAATCCTTTTAGGATCGCATCAATCTAATACGCTAGCATTTTCAGAAAAGCTTATAGCTGAGTTTGATAAAGTTTGGAAGTCACCAGAAGATGCTCAGTCTTATCGATTCCATTGCTAGTGAGAAAAAGAAGCTATTGTGCCTACGCCTAGAAATGTTGTAGAGTTCTGGCGTAAATCACAGGTGGAATCTATGGTATGAAATGCACCAATATATCCCCCTAAGCATATTCACATAGATCTTTGTGAAGTATACCTTGGCTGTGAAGATTCAGAACGAAGCACATCAGAAGCATTGTCTTGGGTCTGATGATATGGATTCCCAGAAAGGATACAACGATGTGCTCAAGTTGGCAATATTGATACTATTAGCAACTTGACAGGAATCATTCAACTTATAGCATAGGAATTCGCTCAAAACTTGCATCCATTTATAGCAGGACTTATTGGGCAACATCTTACAGAAAAAGAAGGCTGAATACCAACGCCTTTAGTCGATTACTTGCTAAGCAAAGGATGGCTCATAAGTGCAACTCCAAGAGAGATCATATACAGTGTGGCAAAAAGTCCTGCATTGAGTTTCCACCAGATCGTGATTTAGCTGTCCGCTTTGTGAACTATTGTGCTCATAATGCGCAAGTAACATCTATTTTAGTTCAGAATATAAATAAAGCGAATATGTTAGTCAACTGGCTAGCAAAAAATAAACGATGACCAAATTGGACCCGAACAGAGCAAGGAACTTTAATCAAGTATGAAGGTGATGAAAAGTGTGAGCAATAGTTGCATATCTGTTCTTTTGTCCTTGCCTATACCCATATTGCTGTACTCGAACAGCTAAAACGTTTTCCAATAGAAAATGTATTATGAGTATGTACAGATGCCATTTATATCACAGCAATTCCTGAAACTATTTTAGATGAAAGTGTTGTCGAGTTGGGGCAAGAATTGCTCCCCGATTTTAATAAAAGCCACTTTGCTAAAGCGAAAAATAGTGCAGAGTTAGAAGAAATGCATGCGAAATATGGGGCAGAACTAGATAAAAAAAGAAAGCAGTATAAATCAGTTATTGTTCTAGAAACACCACAAATTAAATATGGCCAATAGCGCAAGAAAAAAGAGGGATATACTTATCGTAAAGAAGCATCATCCTGGGCTATCAATTATGAAGGTACACTAGAGA